AGCCAAGACAGTAATATTAATTAAAATAATTTTTTTTTAAAACAAAATTTCAAAAAAAATCAATTAACAGTTAAATTACTGTTGGAATCATTAATTTAGCAGCTAAGACAGTAATATTAATTCAAATGTTTTTTTTAAGAAAAAAAATAGAAAAAAAAGAATCAATGCCGGAGACCGGCGGTGGCGGGTCAAAATTTGTTAATTGGTGAAATTGAGCTAAATTTGGTGTAAATCATGAAATTGGAGTTGAATTGCCTTTTAAGGAATTGATGGTAATTTTGATATATATAAAAATATTTTTCTTATATGCATATAAGTTTGAATGAGCTGGAATTATTTGAAAGATAAAACGTTGGATATTTTTTTTTAATTAACTGCCCTCGTCATGATTTTTTTTGCAATTAACCTTCTTTTTATGGTGTCAAAGAGTTTCTAATAATTAAAAACAATTTGTTTAGTTAATTTCTTTTTATTATTAAAAATTTAATTATAAGTAGTAACTCTAAAATTTTAATTATTTTTCATCACGAAAAAAATTAAAATTTCAATTTTGGCCACAAAATAGTGTTTTATGTAACTTGCTAACGGGCGGCAGGGACCGAAAGTGTTTAAAGTTGAACCTTGGAGGTGAACTTTGATCCATTTGAAACAATGGAGACCAAAAGTGGAATCGGTCCAATCATGAGGGACCAAAATTGTAATTATTGTTTTAAAACTGTAAATGAAATGATCGAGAAATAAAACAAGCTAGCTAGAGACAAAATCTTTACATACAAAAACAAACATAGTGGGACAAAAATAGAAGTCAAATGGCACGATGCATCACTTCTTTCTCACCACACACATACACTAGCCTATAGGCTATAGGCTATAGCATCATTATATTATTATAGCTCTCAAGTTGCACAATATTAGTTGAACTTGTTAAAATTTGGCATCGTCTAACAAACAATATGTGTCAATACTTTCGTGGATATGAGAAAACCATACCTTTGAGGTGGACCTTCACCCTTGACTTTAATTCGATTTTGTAGTTGCTGCACTTGATGAAATATATCAGGTGATTAGATTCTAGCTAACCATTAATAATACAGTTAAACTTCGATAAATTAATACAGTTCGGGCCATCAAAATTCCATTAATTTAGCGAAATATTAACTTATCGATAAATTAATAATTATTAATTTATACATTAATTAACAATTTATTAATTTATGAAATTATTTTTATTATTATTTTCAATAAATACATATTTTTAAAGTTTTTTACGTGTATATTATTCATTATACCATTAGTTCAATGCACTATAGAGCCCGTTTCACGAACGAAAGGTCTTAAAGAAGCAATGATATAGAACAATTTTCTGTTGAGTAATGAGAAAACTATATCGAAAGTTCTAACCATGTTAAGAAAAATTAGGGAAGAAAATTATAGTAATGTGAACTTCAACAAGAAACAAACGACAAATAAATTATATTGTATTAAGCATGCATAGATCTATATGTACTGTACCATGTAATTTAAGACTTATTTTTATGCATTAAATTATATTATATGGGGCTTCTTAAATTTTTTGAATTTGTATTATCTTATAAATTTAGCGAAATATTAATTTAGCACATTGTCCCCGAGTCGGGACTGGGAAAATTTATTATTTAAGCGAGGTTATTAATTTATCGGGTATTAATTTATCGAGGTTCTAGTGTATGCTCATAATAACGCACACATCCATGTGTATATGTGTCTAGTGACCGAGTGGTTATTTGTATAGTTCTCTGGCTGGTGCAAAATCACTCGATACTTTTCATCGGGTGTAGCATCTCATAAACCCTTTCATTCTAACGAAAACGTAAAAGAGAGAGAGAGAGAATATATATACACAGACTAAATCAAACACGCAAACATGCAACATAGATCTCTATATCTATATATATATATATATATATATATATATATATATATATATATATATATATATATATATATATATATATATATATATATATATATATATATATATATATATATATATATATATATATATATATATATATATATATATCTTCACATAGTATAGGTAGATGCCCACTACGTCGTAGGTCTCCCGTTGTAGGGGCATTACAGATCAGATTGTTTGTGCATGGGAATTATTTAATGGTGATTTGAAGATGGCCACTTGCAATATAATTCTTTTCCAATACGTACAAATATTTTAAATGAAAAACAAACAATATATATAAAACATCTCTTTCAAATTAAAATACACCAAGAAAATACAAAAAATATTAATCACCGTAATATTATTCCTTTTATATATTGGCCATCAATCTCAGAATTCCTCATCCAATCAACTCAACCAACAGGCAAGAGAGTTGATTATGGGTGCTCGCGGTGCAGACAGCGACATGCCCATGTAACTAAAATAACTAGGCATGTGTGTGAACGTAACTTGTCAAATATATTTTTTTTTTCTTTTTTTTATTAATACTACTTGTTAATTAAAACTCTTATTATTTTCTAATTAATGTTTATTAATTATTATTGACAGTAAGGAAGCTAGACGGACATGATAAATATTTGATGAGGTCACGTATAGATCCAATCATATATAAATACAATAAATAATTTGAGATGTACATATCTATCTATTTCACCGTTTGATAATCCGTCTTCACGGTTTTGTATAACCTATAACTAGTGAAATACACTATATAGTTTTACAGTATTGATGTACATACATATATCAACATACATTCGCATGTATATGTGTACTTGGTGGATAGTTATTTATGTAAATTTACGATTTAAAATCACCTGATCTATTTCAGCAGATTTAGGATTTCATAAGCCCCGTTTTCACATACATCATCCTCATCATTATCTTGCAAATGCGGGGAATCTCGGCATAGTACTCGACAATGAATCCAATCACCAATTAAATAAAAATGGAAAGAAATGACAAATAGGCCCAGAACAAGGGCACTTAATTAAAAAATGGATATCCTACTTTTTTATCTTGCAAATTTATCCACCTCATTCAAACTTACTTGCTAATAAGGAAAACTTTTTCATATATACCAAAATTACTCCTAACTCCTTGAAACACTAATTTAATTCCAATTTCATGATTTACACCCCAATTTAGCTCAATTTCACAAATAAACCAATTTTGACCATTAATTCCATTTCCACCCCAAATTTGACCGCCACTGCTGTTGACCACCGGTCAAATATTACTCTCTAAGACAGTAATATTGCAATCAAAGAAAGTAATATTACTGTCCTAACTGTATACTACTGTCTCATATAGTACTATTGTTGTTAAAATAGTAATATTAATGTATTAATTAATTTTATCGTCTTGGTCTGCAATATTATTGTCTTCGACAGTAATATTAGTGTCTCCGACAGTAATATTAGTGTCTCCGACAGTAATATTACTGTTTAGGACAATAATATTACTAATATTACTATTTTGTTAAAATAGTAAAATTACTGTCTTAGACAATAATTTTGTTGATGACACAGTAATTTAGGTAGAAACAATTAAAAAGAAAATCAACGCCGGAGATCAAGCGGTCAATGGCGGCTGGCCTGCTGAAAAACAAATTTGAGAAAAAAAAAAGAAAAAAAGAAAGAAAATGTCAACGTGGGAATCTGGCCCGAAAAAATTCTGAAAGAAATTTATTTTCTAAAAAAAAATATTTTTTTCCAAAAATTGTAAAAATAGGGGGTTAATGTTATATATTTGTTCAAATATGGGGTCAAAGTGCAATATTGATGAAATTTTAGTATAATTGCTGGAATTGATGAAAATTATATTACGAGGGGTATTTTAGACAAAATACATTGTGATAGTTTTATTTGTGAAACTAGTTTTTATGTAGACCTATGTGCATTTAAGTTCCTTGTCATTGACCTATTTGCCATTTGCCAAAAAAAAAAACTTTGATGGAGTTATAAATAGATTTGTTGCCATGCGGAACTCTAAAATCAGATTTATGTATATTTCCATAATTATCCATTGAAACGTTGCAAGACTAGTAAATTAATACTCCATCTGTCTCATATTATATATTTGTTGGGGTGTTTCTTTTATTCCAAATTGTATGTCATTTTAGAGTTTCAATAAAGTATTAATTGCATTTTTATTAATTTTGTCTCTTATCACTCTTAATTAATTAATTAAAAAATAATGAATGACAAAGGTATTTTAGTATTTATCATGTTATTTTTAGTATAATTGATGCATATTTATGGACTATTTTAATATATGCACAATCCCCAAAATGACATATAATATGTGGCGAATGGAGTATTGTATAGGGCCTTTTTTGACGGGAAAAGGAACGAGTATTGTATAGGGTCACTAGAGGAAAAAAATGAAATTAGTTATACTGCAATTGTGACACTATCAAACGTTGTTACTAAATAGATATATTAAGTGAGAACATTTTTATGTTATCACTAATAACTTCTTTTGTTGTCACTAAATCCCTTTTTATTGCACTCGTAAAAGTGACATTCGGTTTTTATTATCACTCTATAGCATTAGTGATACCCATTAACACAACCATATTAACATAACATTAGTGTTCTCGCTCAAAAAATTATTTCTTGTATTGGATACTCACCGGTAAATCGATCAAGCTGAAAATCTGACACATACTGAATACAAAATCGGTAATTCGGTTATGTATTTGTTTTTCTTTTTGCCAAAAAAATGATTATTCGGTATTAACGAATATTGAAATTTTATTTGATATGTTTATTATTTTATACATATATATATTTCTTTTTTTTAGTTTAGTTATGTAAATTGTAACCATCACCATAACGTCACTCGGTTTAGCCTCTTATATTTACAAGTTGCAGTCCCTTCTCTTTTTATCTCCATAGTTGGACATTTCTTTTCTTCCATCCCTTTCCAAACCTTAATCATTAATAACTATATCCAAACCACTTATTAATATCCAAACCACTGATTATTCATCTCATCTCATCTAGCTAGCTAGCTATGCCAGGAGGAGTTAAAGGAGAAGTAAGCCCACCCCATACTTTCTCTTTAATTTGTCTATCTATATATATATCTGTATCTAATAACACACACTTGTTAGTGAATAAAAGTACTGCTGCATGTCTGATTTATTACATCTAAAATTTTGAAGGTGATGTGGCCAAGATTGGTTGCAAGTAAAATCTTGGGAAGAAAATTGGTTGGAAACAATTTTGTCGCAGATTTTCCGAGTGACGGAAATGATTCCTTGATGGAAATTCCTTGCTTCAATGGCATCAAGTCTCTATGTCCCGACAACAGCATTACCAACGAGGTCCGCGAAGAAGAAACTCGAAATATCAAGTAATTAAGTCTCTACTACAATATTTATTTTTACCACTTTATTTTCTCAAGGATGAATCTTTTTTTTTTTTTTTTTCTCAACATTATATATTACTATATTATTTGTTATCATATCGAAAGGGTGTCTGTTAGCACTTGGAATGTTGGAGGAGTAACGGCAATTGACGGTTTTAATATGGATGAGTTTGTAGACCCGACCAACGCCTGCGATATCTATGTTTTCGGGTAAATTTCTTTTTTTTGACTAATTCAAGAAATTGATGATAGAAAAAGAAATTAATGTGATGCTCAATTAATTGTATATATATATATATATATATGTGTGTGTGTGTGTGACGATGATGATCTGCAGGTTTCAAGAAGTTGTGCCGCTTAGAGTTGAAAATGTGCTAGGACCGGAGAAGAGCAAGATTTCCATGCAATGGAATTCGTTAATCAGAGAAGCTCTAGCGAAGAGAGACAAACAAATTGTTGAAGAAAACAAACTCAAACCGATTAATTATAATAATGACAACTCGAGTTTCAGATGCGTCATTAGTAAGCAAATGGTAGGAATATTGATCTCAATTTGGGTTCGTGACGAGCTCCGCCCGTACCTCCGGAACGCCAGTGTTTCATGCGTTGGTTGTGGAGTCATGGGTTGTTTAGGCAATAAGGTAATATTTAGTACATATGTTACATATACAATTTTAAATTTAAATAATGAATAATATATGATCCATGAATTAATCTCACATGTTTGGTTTGTAGTTTATTGCAATTAGTACCCCTATGTTATATTGAACTGCTAATAAACTACTCCCATATTAAGTTTATTGGCAAAAACACCCCTGTGATTTGAGTTTTTTTAGCTGACTAGTACTCCTGTTTAGGGGGAAAAAATGGAATCATAGACGGTTTCTTGCCATAAAATAACATTGGATAGTTTTTTAGCAATTCGGGTACTAGTTGCAATAAACCCGAATTAGTTAGTGACATTAATTGGTGTTTTTGACTAAATTAACTTGCGAATTTGCAGGGTTCCGTGTCGGTAAGATTTATATTACACGAAACGAGCTTTTGCTTCGTGTGCAGCCATTTGGCCTCGGGTAGTAGAGAAGGCGACCATAAGTGCAGGAATTCAAACGTAATTGAAATATTATCGAGGACCATTTTTCCACAAGGCCCTTCACTTGATCTTCCCTCAAAGATTCTTGATCACGAGTATGTATTAATTAAATAATAATTATTGTTTTTGTTTTTGTTTTTGTTTTTGTTTTTATTTAAAAAAAAAGGTACGATTTATGTTTTGTCCTAAACCATGCGTACAAATAATATTTTCGTTATTAGAAGCAAACAATTAGTCTCTTTCTATTATAATAATTAATATTCATTGTTTAATAGATAATTAAACTACAGTAGGAGTACAGGGGGAATAATCCAATCAGATTACGAGCATATAAACAACCAATTATTGGCTGTTTATAAGTTTGAATGTTGTCTATATCAATCAAGCCGCCTGAAAATGATTAAAAAAAATTGCTTTGTTATGATTATATATATGTTAATCACATGGAGTGTTAGTTAAATTAAGATTGGTGTTTTTGGATGTTTTCAACCCTACTTAGTTTACTAATCGGTAGCTTAACCACCTCGATTAGCAACAATATAATTTACTAATAGCGGTTGAAGCAAGTAAGTCTGTGTCAATTAACACAGGTTCGAGTTCCCTTGTCAACTGTCGCAAGGTGGAGCTTGTCACACATGATCATGCTAGTTTGTTATAAGTTTTTCATATGCTTTGCAAGTTATTGTACGAGATCGTCGATTTACCATATATATATATATATATATATATATATATATATATATATATATATATATATATATATATTACGGCAACATGTTACTGCAACATCGGAGATTCATTGTTTGAGTTTGAATTAATTGCCTAATTGCCTTATTTAAAAGCTAGTGTAATTAGTATGATATGTCACTACTTGCAAAACAATTAATATACTTTTATGTATTTTTACTAATTTTTTAATTTGTGGTGTGCAGCCAAGTGATATTTCTAGGGGATTTGAATTACAGAATCTCATTGGCTGACTCAGCGACAAGAGTATTAGTAAACAAAGCAGACTGGAACGCATTATTGCAATATGATCAGGTTTCAGCCACTAATTTTATTTGCTTATTATAATCCTATTATTTTTTAATATGATCAAATGGTATTTTATCTCCTATTCTTTAACTTATTTTTACTAAGTTAGTCAATAATATAGCCTAGAATATTTTATTTTTAATAGTATTTTATATCTCCTATTGGTTTCTTATATCTAATTTATCCATTGAGTGTACAATCATGCATCACATCATTTGTATAGTTGGCGTGTTTAGATATTTGAATTGAGCACTATTTGCTAATGTGAAATCTGCTATATATATATATATATATATATATATATATATATATATATATATATATATATATATATATATATATATATATATTATTATTATTATTATTATTATTATTATTATTATTATTATTATTATTATTATTATTATTATTATTATTATTATTATTATTATTATTATTATTATTATTATTATTATTATTATTATTATTATTTATTTT